AGCAAACTGATTTCGCCTTAATTTTTTGAAAATGAAATTGTTGGACTTGGATTTTGATATGTGTTTTTACTGGGTACATTTCTGAATAGCGTCAGCTGGCAACTCGGCGTATGAGAACAGAGTGTTGAATTGGTCTTTAGTAAGGTAGGGGGGTTGGTATTGGATTGATTTAAGATGACTAACCACAGGATTTCCGTCATTGAGCAGTGAAGTTTCCAATCATGTCTGGTTATTTAACCTACCAAATACAATCTGCATCAAGAGTTGCTCCTCCGCTGGAACTCAACAGAATATGATCGAGGTATTTCCCTTACCCCTACTACAACCATTGCAGATTTTCCCCCCCTGCAGGACACTCCCACATTCTGTATTTTCCCAATCGCTCTGCCTTTCATGTTCTCCTTGGCTTTTTTTTCTCTCCCTCTCCTCGGTCATGCCCTCTGCTGACCTCTTTGCACAAACTGATACGGGTCAGGACACCCGACAGGTCAAGCGAGAGGAGGGAACTCGGATTACTCCGATTTTTTTTCTTTTTCTCTTCTATCTCTCTTTTCCTGCGTTCACTATAACGTATGCGCACTCTGCATTAGAGGCAGAGACACACACAGCCCAAGAATTCACTACATGTGCTGCTGCAAGTGCATGCTGCAGAGCTCATGCGAGACGCGACAATGATGCTACTTCCTATTTAATGATTTGTGTGTGTGTTTTCCTGCATTGCTGCAGAACAAAAGGGGTTGTGTGGCTTCCTCACTGGTGTCTTGTGGGAATTTAGGAGTATGGAAAAGGGAGGGGGTGCCAGGGGGGGGTCGGACTACGAGATGCACCACTCAACTTTGACCTGGAGAAAGAAACTGCTTGGTGAATGAAGGGAGGAGAGGAAGAGGAAATACTCTTGTGCCACAGTCTGGAGACCGGTCGATGATTATTCATCATGATTCTCAGTGTTTTGTGGGGGGGATGGGCTCAAGTTTTTGCTCCCGTTTTATAGATTTCCACTGAAAGAATGCCTGGCTTGGAGGCAATAATGAAATTAATAAAGAAAAAAAATATTTATTTTAGTTGCAGTACCAGCTAATAAATAAGATTATAGCAAAAAATAAGTTTGTTTGTCTACATACTAAAAAAAAAAAGACAAAAATTATAATGTTGATGATTATTAAATGTCTTTTTTTCTTATAAAATTCATTTTTCGATTTAAAATAATAGCAAATTATTTCAAATTCTTTTGTACGCATTTATTTGTACGTGATACGAAATATTAAAATGAATGACTAATGTAACGTATGCTCTTATTTTTTTTGTCCACTGCATTTAATATCTGTTCACGGTAAAAGTATCTAATGTTAAACAAGTAAAAAATGAAGATGATCCTTATAACAATAATGATAAAAATTGCTATAACGGCCAGTTTGATCGGTGTCAGTTGGTCGAAGCCACACACTCTCGTTTGTGACGCGCTGCTCTGTCCCTTCTGTTTTATTCCATCTCTTGCATCTGCACTGCAGAGCTGTTGCTCATTCGCTCATTTCCATATCCTGATCCTCCTTCACTTCCTCAATACCTGAACAACAGGAATAGATGAGCTGCGTCAACTCCGCAAAGCGGCCTGTCTCCAAGAAGACAGAATAGCTTTAAAGTTGATGAATGTGAAGAAACAGTTATTTCTGAAAAAAATAAATAAATTGTCTAATTAAAGGAGTTGCATAATTGTTTGTTTTTATACTTCTGTAAATTTCACAGTTTTCTCTCCTCATTTAAAACTATTCGTTGTTGTGATTATCATTCGCTTTTGTGAGCTTGTAGCCTGTAAATTATGTTTTATAAGCAGAAATATTTACATTCCTTACAAATGATAAAAAAGAAAGATCTGACAGCAATTACTTTATCATTTTAATTTTATTTGTAGAACAGTTAGGCCCGTTAAGCTCAACGACATAAGCAAAAAGATAAACATTTGATTTTTGTGATATTGTAAATACAACTATATCAGTTATATAAAAAAAAAGTTAGAATAATTTAGTTTGAATAGTTAAAATAAGTTGGATTTGATCATTGTTTAATATTTACCCTCCCTCTGTTGGTAGAGTTTTACCACTTAGCTTGTTGCAAAAATTCTCCTGAAATATCAGAGAGAAGAAAAATATTTCTTAATATATTTCTTTAAAATTTTCAAATGTTGAATTGTATAAACATGAACACAGGTTTTAGCTTTAAACTTTTTTATTTTATTTTAGAGTTGAGGTGAAATGAAAAAAAAATATATATTTTATTATTTTATTTGTTTGCTTAGTATTGACGCAAACGAATAAATGCTGTTAATATTGATTTGGCATGGCTACAACCGAACTCCCATCACTGGCAAAGCTTGAAAAACTTAAACATAAAATGTGTATAAAATACAAAGTACAGGTAGGGTTAAAATGATTCCTATCCCTGGCAAAGTTACATTATTATTTTTCTTTTATTTAACCACCTGTTTGTTTGTCATTGAAAACAAGACAGGCCTCTAAAAGATGATACAAGAAGTGTAGATTTTGAAAACGTGAATTATCTTTTTTTTAATTCTCATTTCATTAAGAGTTGGTATGTCAAAAATTGTTTACACCCTTCTCAATAATCAGTGGACAAATCTGTTTTTACTACAGTAATAAAAGCTGAATTTCATTGTCCCAGTGCTATTTTGGTAATTTGTCTTCAGTTCCAAGTATTCGAAGTTTGAAGGTCTCTTTGCAATCTTTCGATCCTCCACAGACTCAGATTGAATTTGGGACTTTGGCTGGGCCACTCCAAGACATTCAGTCGGAAGAAACAGGCTGCCAAAAATCAATAGATTACTTTAAACCTCAATAACTGGAGGTTAACTGCACATTGTAACTGCACAATTGTGTACAAATGCAATTACTACAACACGGCGTAGAAGACCAAAAATAACGACGCCTATACAGTGATTTGTGGAATCAAAAGAAAAGTTAAATTTTCACACGAATTCTAAAGTTTCCTTCAATCTTTTTTGCTTCTTTCTTACTTCAAAAACCTTCAAATTCTAATTTAGTTTAGTCGCAAATAATTAAACAAAAATGATGAGGAAATTAAAAGGTTTTCACCGACACTTTTGGGGATAGTGGTCAAGCGTTTCACACATTTCATAGATTTCTATCAATCAGTAGGATTTAATGAATAGGACTCCTCCGCTACTTTTTATATATATATATATATATATATATATATAAAACTAAGTCATTCTTTCCTTGGTTCTCAACTGTAAATTAAACTGCAGAGGGTTCATCCACTGAGCCTCATTGCATGCTCTTCTCTTTGTTGTATCTCTTTGTTGTATACATTGACATTTTTTTCTTTCCTGTATATACATTCATTTGTCCATACAAGGCTCCTATAGATCACCTTTAGCTTCCTGCAACTGCAGTAGACTTGAGGCGGAGAAAAAAAAAAAAGCTGCTGAGCGCATTTTCTCTCTCCTCCTGCCTCCACAGTTCTACGTTTGATCCGTTCAGAACTCATTACTTATTTTCCTTCTTTCTTTCCTTCTCCTGTCTCCTACACATCTGTCTCTTTAGCAGGCATTGCTTTTACAGATAACCTGCATTTGTTATTTATAGCCCCTTGATGCATAGCAGGTTGCAGGCTTGCTGTTGCACGCTGCATGCTCGTGTGGGTGTGTGTGTGTGTGTGTTTACCTATGCCGGGATCCGCAGGGCTCGCCTCGATTTGTGAAGGTCACGGATACAGTCCCTATAAAGCGGCCGCTTCTGTCGCGATCAACGAGACATAAATCACTGTCCGCTGGTTGTGCAGTAACTAAATCAATAACTGGGATCATGTAGAAAAGACGGATGGCGAATGTGTTAAAGGGAAATGATGGCATGGCAGCATGACTTGTGTCTTTTGAGGCTGCAGAAGGGATAGGAAGTGGCATCTCTGCAAAAAGTAGATAAAGAGAGAACGCCAAGGACACGCTGCACACAAACTGTCATGCTATGTTCATATAGCTCGCCGTGTTTCACGTTGTGTTGCTGGATGTTTTTCTTTATGTGGCAGTGTGAAAAATCCCACATAGTAATATTTATTTTTGTTTATTGGTGCTGATGTTCTGTGAAAAGTTGGTTGGATTTGGAAAGTGTTGATTGGAGAGCTGTTTGTTCACAGTTACGATATACGTGGCGACCGCTCAATATGTAGGTGTTAAATTTGCCCCGATGGCGGTGTGTGTGTGGTGGTGGTGGTGGTAGTGGGGGGGCTTCTGGAACTCCGAGGCAACGGTGGATGCAACATGAAACCAATGCAATAGTCATATTTTGTATAGGAAAGAGAAATGTGTTCTTTGAACCTAAATTGTTTTTTTTTTTTGTCAGTTTTCTAAGATGAAGTGAAAAAAAGCTAAGTTAAATACATTAGTCATTACGGTTGCATCAAATCTAATTCTGAATTGCTTTTTTGTGTCTTTTTTTTATTTAAATAACTTATCATTATGCTGATGTTCAATTTTCCAGGGATGCACTGACAGAAAAAAATGAAGAAAATTAGACAACGATAACAGCTAGAAAAATCCAAATGATTATAACTGAAAAAAGAAAAAAAAATCATGCTGCAGGTAAATTCTTTGATAGAATTAGTACTTTTAAATCAAGCAGAAAAGGAAGGGATCAGAAGATAAATTTGATTTGTATGAAATTTGATCAAATTGTTTGTAATATTCGATTTGTTCTTACACCGAAAATGGTGGGAGTTCTTTTTTTTTTTACCTCCTCTCTCTTTTATGGATTTGAATGTCAACGATCAGAGCCGCTCTAGGGAAAAATTGGCCAACTCTCATGTCTGGCTGACTGATTGTCGCATTTCTTCTCGTACTGTACATTAGGTATCCATGAATATAATGCAAAAACCCCGCACGTTGCATTTCAGCGTACAGCGGGTTTTTTTTTTCACTTTCATATAGAGAACTCTGATATTTATTTATTTATTTTTATATTTCCCAACAGAGCAAACTGGTGATGGAGGGTTTCCGCAGCTTAAAGGAGGGTGAGCAGGTGGAGTTCATCTATAAGAAGTCCTCTAAGGGCCTGGAGTCCTTGCGGGTGACCGGACCTGGTGGAGGACCCTGTGCGGGCAGTGAGAGGAGACCTAAAGGGAAGGTTCCACTCCTGAAACGTAAACCAAAGGGAGATCGGTAAGCATTAAAAATGAAATTATTCCATATATTGTACACCTCTGGAAATGTAATTAGGCCACCCAGTAAGAAGCACATCCGACAAAATCTGAGTGTGTGTGTGTGGGTGTGTGTGTGTGTGTGTGTGTGTGTGTGTGTGTGAAAGACGGCTGTAGTAAAATGAGAGTTCACAAATGTACATCTTGAAGCATCCAGCCCTTTCTGAGTGGGCTGGAGAGTATAGATTAACTCTATTCAACCTGCCAATGTACATGCCTGTTGCCATGGTTATTGTGTAGTGTAATATGAAAATGAATAGGGCTCTTCTTCGCCTGCCATAGGCGCTGTTTTAAATCAATTTGCCAGCTCCTACATTTGTGAGTGTGATTGCGAATAGGTGGCTCCTCCGAAGCGCGATTGTTTTCGTCGTCGTCGTCGTCGGTAACAACCTAAAGAGTGATGTGCTAAAATGTGTGAACGGCAGCCGTGTGGGGCTCCTTGAAAACACCTGGCGGTTAGAGGTAAGCGTGTTTCCCTGTCCTCTGAGGGGAAACGAGAGCGCTTTCATTCCACGACCGCTATATGCAACCGCATTGTTTTAAGGATGCATTTGCATTTTAAATCCCAGCCCTGCCACGCTTTGTTACCGGAAAACTAGCCGGAGCATTGTTGTGCTCCTTTTGAAAATTTAGAACACAAACGCTGTTGTTGGACAGCCAGAAACCATATCTGAGAGGAGACTCCATGATTGTTTTACACAGCTGAATAATTCAGCTCATTTGGGATAATTGATCCAGAGTTGGGTCAAGTGTCTCAACTTTTAGCAAGGCTGGAAGGAGCCAGTGTTGGATTCATAGATGGCAGGTAGATGACTGTGAGGTAATTGGCGTTATTGGGCATGCTCAGTCGCTGCAGCCGTTTCGAAAGTGATGCCACTCTGACCCCTGCTGGCTGTGGTAGTGTATAACAACACACCAGCCCTTCAGAGCTCCGCTCCGGCAGACTGCTTGCTTTAGGATTTGAACAAATAACTGCTGCTATCTGACAAATATTGTCTCGCATGTTATTTTGTGAAGAGAAAATGTATTTTGGAAATGCATCTGAGTAAAATAGTCTCCCTGTGAAGGGCTTTTGTTTCATACATCACTAATAGCGAGTCATGGCTAAACGTTGATTGATTACAAGTTCAGTCAAAGGACAAGGTTTGTAGGTTTTGTGACCCTATTTTACTGACACATCTGTCTATTTGTATTTCTTCTTTTTAAGATATTTAAATCTTTTCCTCCCAAGGATTTACTGTGGTGGTGCAAACACTTTGTACATCCTGAACCAGCGTTGGTGTTAATCATATTTATAGGTCAAAATAAGTACCATCACATGTGTCAAACTGCTTTGGTTTCATCAGATCAAAAATGATTAACGACAACAACAACAAAAAATCCATATTGGTCAGTAGAATATCTTAGAAAAACTGAATCAATGAATGAATGAGTGCTAAAAAATACATCTTTGTAACTGCCTTTTCATTAAGCTATCCGTTTGGTGCAGCTTACATTACAGCTTTCTTGCTTGAGAAAGTTGGGTTTTGATTCCTTAGTTATTGTAGTTGTTTAAGATATAGGAAACGGACAACAACAAAACCATCACCCTAATTTAGAAGCACACAATGTCCAGAGCGTATATCAGCTGACACAACAGAAAAAAAAATTAAATTGATTGGTATGAAGTTGTCCTCAAGGATAGATTTTAATCTTTTGACAACCAATTGTCAATCAAGAGATTTGTGCTGAGAACTGAAAAAAAAATAAAGCGACATACCCCCATCTTGTGGTGACTCATGTAATAGCAGGTGGAATTTTTCATTTTTGGATGACTGCTTCTGCAGGAGCAGGGATTGATGGTTAGATGAATGCAAAGTTGTTAGACGTCACCAAAGACTCGCCAAAAATTCAAACCGTTTTCCAGCGCTGTGTATTCTGTAACCGTTTTCCTTTGCCTCTTTCTCCTTTCGTTTGCAGCTGTTATAACTGTGGAGGTCTGGACCACCATGCCAAGGAGTGTGGCCTGCCCCCCCAGCCAAAGAAATGCCACTACTGCCAGAGCATCACTCACATGGTCGCCCAGTGTCCCCACAAGGCGCTGGCACCCGCCGCAGGCTCTCAGGACCAACAAGCGTCTACCTCGGCCTCCGCTCCAGGCACGGGGCCTCACCTCTGCCTCCCCGAGGAGGAGGAGCGCTCCGGCTCGTCTCCCCTGGAGGGGTCCTCCTCGTCACCCGAGGAGCCACACACACACCGCAGCTCACGGACCCAAAGGTGGAGGAAATCCTGAAAATGTTCCGTCGAGGTGAACTTTTTTTTTTTTTTCCCCCACCCCAAAACCCAGCCCCTGACCTTCATGTCTACCCTCAATCAAGGTTACCCGAAGTCCCACCTACCCCCTTTCCTCCTCGTCTACCTCACACTTGTGAAAAAAAAGGGAGTTTTTTTAATTTTTTTATTATTATTATTATTTCTTTTATTTTTCATTGTGTTATTTTTCTAACCAGCACAGCTGTGGCAGCGATCAGCGGGGTACGGGACGTGCGTGAATGTGTGCGACTGACTTGCAGTCATCTGGTGCAGCTATGGAAACGACTGCTGGAAAGGTGACTGCAGGGAATAATTCTTTGTGTTTCAATCTGTGCAGCTCAATGGTGAAATGTCATTTGTGTGTAGGTTTTGATGACTGTGATGTTTCTTCTCCCCCTCGGACCTGAAGGGTGGCTATTTTAAAATCCCCCCCACCCCCCTTCCTGCTTATTTTGCAGACTGAAAGCCACAACTGTATACTGTAAGCCTAATCATTCAGAGAGAGAGAGAGAGGAAAAAAAAAAAAATCCCGATTGCATCTTCACAGCACACACGGTAGCTCATTTTAAAATGGATTAGGGGGCAACTCTTAAGAGCTTGAGTCCGTCTAAGTAATAATCCAGACCCACAGGACTTTTAGCCTGGGCTTCTAGAGATCTTTTGGGGAAACTTAATGCATTCCTGAGGGGTCGTTTTAAAAGCGCCGCTGAGCTGCTAGAGTACGTTTTCTCTCATTTCAAAACCCTCGATACATATCGCTTTCGTGACACGGACTGGACCAACTGATTGTTGAAGTGTGAGCAAGTGCAAGACTGAGAACAAAGAGGAGAAGAGGGAGAGTGTGTGTGTGTGGCACGGAGACTCCGAAAGAAATCACAATTGTCAAACTGGAGAACTATGTTCTTTGTGGGCGAATCATGGCTGTTAAAACTCCACCGTTTCCCTGTCCTCACAGATAGACGCATATTATATAAGGCAAATATGTAATCAGTCTAGGTCATAGTTTAGGTTTTAAGTAAAGGCCTTATCATTAGACTTCCATTTTGGTTGTTGCATAATTAGTTTAAAGTAGTTTTTAATATATATATGTAAAGTTACAAGATATAATTAAAATTATATTAACATTAAGTAAGCATATATATATATATATATATATATATATATATATATATATATATATAT